GGATGGATGGATGGACGGAGGGATGACTGCATGCGTGCATGAATGGACGTATGGATGGATGCATGCCTGTGGGAGCTATGTGCTTGTCGAATGCGCGAGCTTGGATGTGGCAACCTCATAAAACCTACTCCGAACCTCACAAAGACCAGCGTTACTCTGAAACCCGGCCTCCCGGCAAATGCGGCAGGCCGAGATCGCGGTGGAGCCTCGGGGCTACACTCCGGTTTAGGGTTCTAGTTCTGCTAAAGGTTCCTGTAAGGGTTCCTTTACGGGTTTGGGGCTTACAGCTGGAGTTTAGACTTTTTTGGTTTCGGATTTTCAAGAATTTTGGGTTGACATGCTATAGAACTTGAAGACTGACGGGTTCTGCTTTCCAAGTCTATGGTTTAGGGTTGAGCGTTCAGGAATGACAAAAGTTCGAATCCTACATCGCAAAATTCCAGAAATTCAACCTCGAGCTCACAACTCCAAGGCGCAGTCGACTTTTGGTGACTTGACTAGCAAGGGAGACATAACCTGCACACCGTACCGATCTAAGCAAAGCATGCCAGCTTAGACCTATTACCCAGACATCTGCCATGACCCAATATGGGGAAACGTTTCGTTTTCGGCGTGCAGAACCCATGCGTGTGACCCAGGAGGAACCCGCAAAAACTGTAAAAAAGCCCACCCAGGATGTTGCTGAGGTAGATCTCGTAGAAGCGGAAGGCAGCAAGTGAAGAGCATGTCTTTGGCCTGGCGAAGGTTCGATGTGATACGAACGACAGGATCAAGCAATTCAGGGTGTAAGGCCTGGCATTCCGAAGCACGGCTGTGTCCGATGGCAACCACCTTGCTTCTTCCACGGCGATAGCGATGAAAGAATGACGAAGACTATGGTGATGGTGATAATTGTGATAGCCGTGATGATGAATCTAATGGGTATGACGACGAAGGTGATCAGCCCAATGTTGTTGTTGCTGGTGATGATGATGACGATGATGACGATGGTGGTTGTGGAGGTGGCAAAGATGACAATGTGATGGGCACAACAATGGCACGCGACTTTATGGCTGCGATGCCGGCGATGGCGACAACGATGACGACGAAGAAGACGCTGGAACTGACAATGACGACGGCGACAAAACGGCGAAGAAGACGACAGGGGGCACCAGAACGACCAAGCATGAGAATGATCATCAGGATGCGGATCAGGACGGGGTTGCGATGATGGCCAGCAACAGCATAATTATGTCGCTGTCTGCAAGGTGTTGCCACAATCCTGTTGCCACTCTTGGACGCCGAAGTGCCAGAATACCGCAGCAGTGGAACTTATTGCTGCGAATATTCATGCATTACTGTAGTTAAATGTTCGTACTGGTGCTACTAGTGGTAATGATACTAGCTAGTGGCTTTCGTATCATGAAGAGCTTTAATTCTAGTACTGACCGCAGCAGGAGGAATAGCACTTGGAGTCGCAGCAGCACTAGTAGTTGGAGCAAGTAGGAGGAGGAGGAGGAGTAGTGGATGTTCAGCATAATAGCAGGACTAGTAGCAAACCACAGGAACATTTGAAACAGATGGGCAATAGCAAAATCAGCCGCAGTAGCATTGGCAGAATTGTAGCCCTCGTCACAGTCGCAGAAACAAGGAGAACAGCCGCTGCAGGATTGCTAGTGTGGTTGCACGATCGCGATCGAAAGACGCCGATGCCATGAATGATACGGTTCAATTTGCACAGCCTATCCATGACAGCTCTTCTGCCGGCTGTCATGGTTGCCACCTGCGACGCCTAGCACGAGAGCAGCTTCCGAACGGTGAGCATCATCATTTTCAGCCTCAATCCAAATGCGTGCTCGGCTCAGTTACCAACCGTGCCGGAGCGTATTTCAAGCAAATGATGTGAGAACGGAATTGCACAGCTTCGTCGGTTTCATACATACGGATAGGCGGTTTACGCGATGTTTTGGGACTGCGGCTTGCACCGACGTGGTATCTGATGCCAGCAGGCATATCCACATCGGTGCAGCTGGCTCTCACGAAATGCCTGCCTTTCTACGCAGGCAGATACCACAAGCGCAGCAAGCCAAGGCAATAGATGCCGAAGAGTGTCCGTTTATACACGACACTGGGGGCATCTGTCATCGAAGTTCTCGACGTACCGCTTCCAGTGCTGCTTGCACATGAAATGAGAACCTTGGCATCGCGGAGCCTTGACAGGGGCAACGACGTTATGACCTTCTTCAAGGCAAATCTGGCAAAGCCGATCCGGGACATCGGGAACTGCACCTGAAAAGCCGGCCATGCTCTTGAGGATTTCGTCCAGGCTTTCCAGAAACTTGTCATCTTCGACCTGATACGTCGCTTGCACCATTCGATTGATGTCGGCCACGTGTGATTTGGACGTGTCCGTCAGGAACACCCAACAATCAGTTGACAGACAATAATGCAAAGCCGTAACGAAGAGAGCACCCAAGCAAGCACCACCGACAGCACCGACACCAAACATTGCGGCCACGCTCAGTGGTGCTTTCACCAAACCAGCCCAATAGAATGGATGGACACCAAACTCACACAACACGCCCAGACATCCGGAAACAAACGCGGAACTGAAGATGAATACACACGCCGCTTCTCCTGGTTGCTCTTGCAACCAACGCCGGGTCTTGCGAACTTGAGCATTGAACCATGGATTCTCGGTGCGAAGAATCTTGTAGATCTGCCCCTCCATTTGTTTGAGAAGTTCGATCATCTTCGTGTAGACTTGCTCCGCTCGATCCTTCTCTGCGCAAGAAAGTCGTCCATAAGCCCTCTCAATGCCCATGTCCTTGAGCTTCAGCACATACTGGACATCGTCGTACATCGCAAGCGTTCCCTGCAGTACTCGAGCTTTTGCATCAGGTCTTGGGTTTCTGCGTTGCCGTCTTGCGGGCGGTCCTCTTCAGCCTGCTCCTGATTTGCTGGCTGCCCGGCTGTCCGCATAACTTGTCGCTCCAGAAAGAGCAGCTCTGCTCTCAACCTTTCCGCCGCAAGGTCGGCGTCCGCAAGTTGGAATGTAAATCTCAACTTTGACATAGCAGGCATGGCGAATGGATCAAATTAAGAAAAGAAGACCGAGAAGCTGTTGGAAATTCGAGCAGAAACTGCTGAAAGAGCACATGGGGCTGTGCTGCTAAACATGCGGGCACCAAGCATCTCCGACAACATCTTGCAAAGACACTCGCAACTAGTACCCACATGCAATCATGCCAAGCGCACCTTCTTGTTCCTCCGCCGTAGATGGCCCACTGAAGGATGATGTGCTTGCAGCTCACTGAGCTTCGGTCATACTACTGCCTTGTTAAATCAGACCCTTATCAGGTCCTTATTATGGGTATTTAGGGTTTAGGGTTTAAGGTTTAGGCCCCCTTACCCGTACGCCTCAAAGGGTCCTTATGATTGGAAGGACCCGAAGGCTTACGGAAAGTGCCTTCTCGGGATAGGATACTTAAAGGAAAAAGGTAAACATACTTATAATTCCTATAACCAACGTTGAGGTACTTATAACCTTACTTGCTAAGTCACCTGATCCCTTTAAGTAGGGGTCTGTGTCATGAGTAATACTCTTTCATGATACTACCTCTATAAACTGAAACTCATTAACTATATACCCCCACATTAACCAATTCTACTTATTCAAACCCCCGTGGCAACTATAAAACTGGCTTTTACAGATCTACTTTCAAGTACTTCGTAGTGCTCGTTCAAAGACTCGCAAGACTACCTAAGATGACCGTGGTAGGAACAGTGCCTAAACCCTAAACCCTAAACCCTAAACCCCAAAGCCTAAGCCCGAAACCCGAAACCCTAAACCAAGTGATTCGACTCAGCCATGGCCCCAAAACATAACAGTCCGGGCGACAGCCATGGTGGCATTCATACCGCGGGCTTTTGGGGTTCAGTTTAGGGTTTAGGGTTTAGGGTTTAGGGTTTAGGGTTTAGGGTTTAGGGTTTAGGGTTTAGGGTTTAGGGTGTGGAGGATGAGTGGCTTCAGTATGACGTGTGTATATGTGATGGTAGGGGTTAACTTTCGACTCCGAAAAGTGCCACTGAAAACCCGACCGGAAATCCAAATGTGAATTCCCATGAGTACAAGCTCAGTGCAAAAGTTCCAAATTTCGTACTTCGATTGCTGGTGCTTGGATTCCTACGCATAGCCACCCTTGATCTTTCAATACCCTAAATCCGAAACCGTAAACCGCCAAACCTTAAACCCCAAGCACAACAGCCCCAAAGCTCAGAAGGGCTCGCGACCCTGGCTTACAGAGCCACGAAAATGAAGGCTGCAAGCAGCTCCAGATGCCATACAGGGTTTCCGGTTTAGGGTTTAGGGTTTAGGATTTAGGGTGCAGCGGTTTAGGGTTTTGGTTCCCCACTGCCGTACCGACCAGGACCCTCCCCAAGCTACAGAATGTAATGTAGGGGCCTTAGTCATTAGAACAATTAGAATTTGGGGTATACTAGATTATAGATATAGCAAGGACCCCCCTCCAAAAAACTGTCTAGGTAATTATTAAGGCCCCTACATTATACCCACCTGACTACACCCTAAGCCTGCGCCGCCGCAAGCTCGTCAAACGGCCGAGTCGCTGCACCACCGACGCCAGCAGAGCCGCAGAGGAAGCGAAGCCCACCCTTCGGCGGCGTGAGCTCAGGGTCCGTGATCTTGGGGATCGGGGCTTAGGGTGTAAGCCGCGGTTTCAGGGCTGAGGCTTCAGGGTTTAGGATTTTAGGGTTTAGGGTCTAGGGTTTAGGGTTCAGGGTTTAGGGTCGAGGGTTTAGGGTTTAGGGTTTAGGGTTTAGGGTTTAGAGGGTGTTGGGCTCAGGACGTACGGTTGCTGAGGATGCACAAAGCCACTGCGAAGCCACTTCGGTGGTCGGCAGCAGTGGTAGTCTTAGCTGCTGGGTGTTGGGCTGCAGGAATGTTGCGGCTTCGCCGAAATAAGGGCAGCATGCGGTTTGAACCTAAACCCAAATCCCTAAACCCCAAACCCTAAACCCTAAACCCTATATGCTGAAGATTAACCTGCAGCTCATACCTGAAGCCCTAGACAACCCTACCCGCTAAACCCTGGCCACTACCCCAAAGCCTAAACCTAACGCATAAAATCCCACACTACCCTACAGCTGAAAAAGAAACTCAGGGGGTTTAGGGCTCAGCCCTAAGACCTTCGCAAACACCTTTCATATTTTCGGAGATCTCTACAAACCCTAAACCCTAAATACTAAACCCTAGACCAACAAGACAAACAAACTAAGCCCTAAACCCTAAACCCTAAACCCCCAGAGCCCTGACGTTTGAGGCTTGGTACGTTTGGGCTTCAGAAGCTTGACCCAGCAGCTGGTGTTCCGGGGCTGTTAGGGTTTAGGGTTTAGGGTTTAGGGTTTAGGGTTTAGGGTTTAGGGTTTAGGGTTTAGGGTTTAGGGGTGTTTATGTAGGTCAAAACCCCTTAACAATGCACGGGAATTTGCAGCATATTCTTTTTTTCAAAGGGATGCTATTACTAAGTATTCCGACCTCCACGACAAGTCTAAGTTGGGGTTACCATAGGCCGGGGGCACCCTTGTCACAGCAAACTTCTCCTAAGGACTCTTGCCGCCTAATGCCACCCCAGCGCCGCATCTACCCTAAACCCTAAACCCTAAACCCTAAACCCTAAACCCTAAACCCTAAACCCTAAACCCTAAACCCTGAACCCTGAACCCTGAACCCTAAACCCAAACCCAAAAGTCGCCGGGAAGCCTCTAAAGCAACTTGGCTCCCCAAAACCCTAACCCAAAAGCTCGCAGAAGGATGCCTGTAGAGCAGCTTGGCTGCATCGGGCCCGACCGCCAGCTCCGAAATCTGCGGGAAGGGCACCTAAAAAGGCTCGAATCCGGGACCCCAGATATCCCGATCGCCTTTAACAGGCCGCTGAGTCAGTGATCGTTACAGTCGAGGGAAAACAAAAGAAGAGGGTGCTGCACGAATTACGAATTGTCAGGGAGTTTCCGTTGCGCAGAGAGCTGTGCAAGCATTTGCAAATTTATGGCTTTCAGAATCTGTTTGTGGCTTTTTACTACCCAAGTTAACGGTTTTCAACTCGACTGCAAAGGTTTCCAAACCATGCGAAGATGCTTGCACGGAATGAAATGTCTAGGCTCTGTGCAGACGCTGGGGCCCTAAACCCTAAACCCTAAACCCTGAACCCTACAAGGGTCTTGAGGTCTAGGAGTTGAGGGCCTCGGACGTAGAGGTTATGGCTTAGGTTTAGGGTTTAGGGTTTAGGGTTCTGGGATCTGGCGTTTGGCGGTGGCGGTGGTGGTGGTGGTGGTGGTGGTGGTGGTGGTGGTGGTGGCACTGCGAAGCTTAGTGGTGGCCGTCGTCGTCATCGTGGTTGCTGTTGCTGTTGCGATAGCTCAGGGTCAGGGTTACGAGGGTTGAGATGGAAGGTGGGTTTTGGGGGTTTAGGTTTAGAGGTCGGGGTTAAAGGCTTTGGGGTTTAGGGTTTAGCTTATAGCAGCTGTATCTGGGGCTACGTATTATTGTGCTTCAACTAGGGCCAGATGGCTACACCTCTGCTTCCTTCTGCTGCGAAGACCACTGCCAGACTCTGGCCAGAACCTTGAAGTCCTGAACCCCTAAACTTACGAAGCCCCAAACCCCTCTAAAATTCTGGGAATCTTTGAGCCCTAAGCCCGAAAACGTCAAGCCGTTGGAGCCGTGCCTCTGGATCCATGAGCGACCGGTGCATGGCATAGCAGCCACAGACCTCCCAGGACCGCGGAAGTAGTTATGAGTTCGGGCAGCACGAAGCTAAAGCCACCCTGAGCATCCCTCGCCACTCCAGCAACCCCAATCCTCCGCAAGCTTGAAGATTTGGGCGAAACGTCCCTTGCAGCTACTTTCCCTTGGTAGGGGCCTGCGAAAAATAACAAGCAGAACAGGAGCAGCAATGACAAGCACAACGCAATTACAAGAAACAGTGTTGACTTGCCTGAAACCCAAGAAGAACCTAACACGCACAACCGTAAACCCTGAATTACTGAAACCCTAAAAACCCTGACCCTACACCACCCCTTCAACACACAAAAACAGAACCCTAAACCCTAAAAAAAAAAAAAAACTTAGCCCCTAATGCCCCCAAAACCGCAACAAAGTCCGAAGGGTTCAGGGTAAGCCCCTAAACCCTAAACCCGAATCCTTAACCCCTACACCCTGAACCCTAAACCCTAAACCCTAAACCCCCTAAACCCTGAACCCCAAACCCTAAACCCTAAACCCAAACCCGAAACCTAAACCCTCCCGGCCGTCGCCACGATCCAAAGCAGCGAGCCGGAAGTTGCCTTGGCAGGGAAGGAGACTCCTGGGAGGGTTTTGGGTTTAGGGTTTAGGGGACTTTGGGGTTCAGGGTTTAGGGTTTTGGGGGCTTTTGGGGTTTAGGGCTTCGGGTTTATTTAGGGTTTAGGGTTTCGGTTGAGGGGAGATTGGGGAGCCCCAAAAATTTTTTGTATGAACAGTAAGTACCTTGAGAGTAACCATAAATAAACTTCAAACTCCCGAAGTGCCACCTAGTCAGGCGCTTTAAGGTTCTTGCAGCCTCCTTGGGGTTTGGAGGATCCTAGCGTTTAGAGTTTAGGGTTTAGGGCCTAGTTTAGGGTTTAGGGTTTAGGGCTTAGGGAGCTTTAGGACTGCGTAAGGGTTGTAGACTTGAGGATTCTGGTGAGGCTTTACAAGAAGTCTTGAGGGTGTTCCGGGTGTTGCAGACGGGCTTACGTATGTCTATGGGGGGGGTGAAATCTGCATCTCCGAGAGGTAGGACTCTCTTTCTATACGAGCATTAA